TGCCAGGGGCATTAACCAGGACGAATGGCAAGACTGTTAATTGAAACAAACCTGCAGGAGTAGATAAAAGCGGTATAAACTTCCGGAATCATTTTACAGACGGCTATTTGACAGTAACCTTTTCGTCAGCGTCGAATCTTCGACAAATATCTGCTGTGACTTAGCGCCCAAATATGGATTCTGGATCACACTGGGTTCGGCCATCAAATTTATCAATTTTGTTTAGGTCCTGAAAATCTTAAACAAAGCCGCATGTTTTCCATCCTGTTTAGGCACTATAAAAATAGGAGTCGAGAACGAGGAGGTCCGATGTTCTAATATCATGCCAAGTTGCATCATATGAGACGAGCTATTCTCTCACACATCCTCCTAAGATGTAAGGAATAGAGGGTAAGGTGTTTATCTAATAGTGTCGGCACCCAGTCACCGAAATTCTGTTTCAGTCACAGTAGTTTTACTGGAACATCCGTTAATACTAGTTTCTACTTGCGTACAAAATTTCCTTTAGAACTTCTTGCTGATCGTCCGGTAAAACTGAATATTGCACATGTACGTCTATTCACGTCCTCCTGCTGGGGGTATTGGGAATTTAATTATTTAACATTGCACCAGCGCACTCGGACGCCACCACGGCGACGGCGGTGTTTCTCCGTTCCCATTTTCTGTTGCCTTCGCGGTACAACGTAACGCTTCAACATGTTAACGTGATATTTTCTTCCGGAGTCCGTTTACTCAACACCTTGTTCCATTTGCTAGGGCCTGCTAAGACTCACTTGTACGGTCCCTTACACTGGAACAAACAGCTTGTGGTTTTGGTAGCGCACACAGTAGCAAGACGTCATCGCCAACCGCTATATTTCGGTCTTTGTTTTTCTGGTCGTCTCGCTAGTGATGGCCGGGCTTCCTCCTGCGCCTGTTTTAATTCTGTTTAAAAGCCATTTTACATGTATTTTTCAACCTTTCTCGTAGGTTAAGTACATTACTCAATATGCCAGCTTTACCTCATCATCAACCCGGACTTGCCGTCCCATATCTAACGCAGCAGTGTTATCGGTTCCTACTTTTTTTTTTAACCGGTGTGTCCGTAAATCAGCCTCGATGGTGGACGAGAATCCCGTGCTGGCCTGGGGTACTTGGCGGTAAGGGCAAATAGATCGGGGTGCCAAGTACGCGGTGCATTTCCTTGGGCTGCTCATACACACATCCTTTTAAGCATTTTCTTTAGTGTCCGTTAAATTTTTCACAAGACCATTGCACTTAGCATGGTATGGTGTGTGGTCCAAAGGACTGGATTAGAAAGTACGTTTCTACTTCTTTCATTAGGTCAGAGGTAAATACTGTGTTCCCCCTGTCAGATAAAATCTCTCTAGGCACACCTACCCTGCTGAAGATTGTAACAAGGCCTCTGCTATGTGGTGTATCAATGCATATGGAAAGAGCGAACAGACTCGGGGTACCGCGTAGCATAAATCCCACCTGCGTCAGGATGTCCCCAGGAGCCATTTGAAGTTAGTGGCTCAAGCCGGCCCCCCACCAGCGTATTACGGCCCTGCGAGGAAATGGTTCACCAATGAGCGGCATGTCACCCAGTCTGACCTTGCCTCACAATTCCCCGCCTATCCACGTCCGTTGAAACACGTCGATGATTGCAGTAGGAGTTACAGCGACAGTAACGCACTGGCAAAAGAAACTGTGGCAAGTATTCTATTTTCCAGTTTATGCGTGTGCCTATATTGGGCTAACCATACCAGCTGAATGGGCCAGCTCCAGGTCGCTTGGCGACACGCTGTGGAACATTGAGTTGATCCCTGTTCGTCGTTTTTCCCGTCCATATCATGCCTGTACAGCTGTCACTCTTTTCTAAACGAATTTAGACTATTTCATTATTTTTCATCCTTTTAAAAAACTTTAACCTTTTTGTACGTAGATCCGAATTCATCCCAAACTTTTATCTCTCTTTGTATTTTCTGTATATTTCGGTTCAACATTTCGTTAACTCTGCTATCTTCAACACTGGCGTCTTCCATTCTACATTCCTCTCCGAATTGGTCTGCATCTCGTCATCACTCCACACGTTTCCGTTCGTGCGTCGTCCTCACTGACTTGCTCTCTGGTAATTCCCCAATTATCAAGTCATACTAGTGGCCTCCCCTGCTGGTAGACAGACGGCATTCACCCTCCATTATAATAGGGGGTTTTGAAATCGATTACTGCCTCAGGGTAATAATAAATTTTTAGAATTTTCCATAATTCATGCACTTCTTACCAGTCAATTTAGACGACGGAACCAGACTTCTCCTTACACACTGTTGAACATCCTGTGTCCTCGTACTATGGCTTTGCTTCCGTCTACCTTCGCCTCTAGCAGTCTTCAACTTCCCTTACCCTTGGCTAGGTTCCTCACACCATTCCTCTCATCTACCGCCTTTCTTTTCACTCTCCTTTGCTCTCTTCTCCTTGACTCCATGTCACACTAGTTTCTGGTGCATATACTTACCTACATCGGCTTACTGGGCGCTGCATCTTCCTTCCGACAGGCTGTGGTCGGCTCGTTTTTCCTCGAACATTCGGTGGCCTGAAATATCTTTCCCATGCCCTGGGTCCCCGTTTATTACTAGTGAAGCCAAGTTACCTGACCCCGCACTGCGGCCTAGTTCCGTTGCTGGGAGTGCTGGGCGTGGAGGGCTCGAGGAGAGGCGGAATACCTGCGGTCTGTGTGTCATTAGCGCGAGTCCCTTGGTTTCGTGGGCCGTGGAAACGATCCGATTTCTCCTGTAGCATCTTGTAAAGTTCTTAGAGAACCGCTCTTTTAGGAATAAACTCAGGGTTAACAGTCACATGAGGATAGAAATTGCCTCTCTGATGATCAGTCCTTAAAAACTCGTACTCTTTTTCACATTCCGCCATATCAGGTCCATCTCTCAAACAGTTTTGTCCATTCTTTGCTATTAATGTTTGCTAGTCTATCCGTAGAAAATGTACAGTTTCTAAATTTTGTTCTAAAACCCTAGGCTGTGCATTCAAATCCTTTAATAGTGCTGATTTTACCAGCTCAAAATTATTTGCTTCTGAGGGGTAAATTGCACGGAGGCATTGATATTTTGTCCAGGGCTTATTACCTTGCAATAAGGAGGCTAAACTGATGGCACCACACTTCTTCGGACCAATCTGCGTTCCTACGCGAACCCTTTTCAAACGCTGAAGGTATGATCAATGTTATCGCATTTATCATTGATACACAGTAATTTGGGGTACTTTAACCTGTACTTTTGCAGTGTGTGGTGTGCCACTCATCTACCACAGGGACTCTTTTTTTAACTCCAGTTGCTTATCTTCAATTCTTCTTTCTTTAACTCTGCTTCCATCTTGCGTTTCAAATTTTCTTCCTTGCTTTCTTCATCGTCCATCTCTTTCTGCTTCCTGTCTTTCCCCTTCCTTCTTCTCTTGCTGTACTGCCTCTTTCTCCCGTTCATACTGATGCATTTATTTTATGAACTGGGATAAATTCTTCGCACCTTGGAGCCCCGTTCTCTGACGTTTTCTGGTCGTAGCTTTTCTGTCTCCATGACTCCAATTCCTTTGACAAGGATTTTCACGAAGGTCGTCCTGTTCGGCGCGCCAAACATGTTATGGATCGGGTTCTTTGTCTGTTTAAGAAACGACCTTGCCTTTTTATGGGAACTTTGGAGCAGAAATAAAAGCTTTTGTAGGCTATAAGAATTTCTTTTATTAGTCTTATTTTGTAAAGTATTAGCTTTGAAATAATGAGGGGTACAGGAACCTCGCCTTCTCTGGTCAGGATTGGATCTTGCCCTCGCATGAGTAGTGTGGAGCGTTTGGAGCTCACCACTCGTCTGACGTTGTCGGCTTCTTCACCCCACCACCTCAGCTGCTGGCGCGCAACTTAAGTTTCCTTGGCGGCTTCCTTGGCTTCCTTGGCCGTGACGTCACTTCATACCCGCCACCACTTATCACTGTCGTTTACCATTTAATTTACTTATGGTACATTTTAGTTTAAGTTTGGTGTTTTATTTTAATGTTTAGAAATAAAAGCTAATTATTATTAAAAGTATATTGTCAATACTTGACAATGCCTCCCCATTTAAATAAAAGAAATTTTAGTTTCTTTTAACACAACACTGTTTCACTTTGAACACTTAACGCGGGATTTCTGCTTAAGAAATCTGCACCAACATTTTCACTACCGCGGATATAACGAATAATCATTCTGTATTCTTGTAGAGCCAGCGCCCACCTCATCAAGCGACCGTTTAGTGATTTTGCTGTATCCAAGTATACGAGAGGTTGGTGGTCCGTCTCGAGGTAGAACTCGCGACCGTACAGGAACTTGTAGAATTTCTTGGTTGCCCACACCACCGCCAGACACTCTCGTTCGATCACCGAATATTTTTGCTCCGTGTTAGACAGTTTTCTGCTGGCATACGCCACGGGGAGTTTCTCGTCAGCATCTTCCTGTAAAAGGACAGCTCCCAAACCCACTTCCGAAGCGTCTGTTCTGAGGATGAAAGGGTTATTAATATCGGGGAGTTTAAGGATGGGTTTATCTGTCAGCGCATATTTCAACCTGTCGAATGCGCGTTGATGTTCTTCTCGCCACGTGACCTTGGACGGGGCGCTTTTCTTGACTAGCTCCGTCAGCGGCGCGGCGATGCTGGCGTAATTCTCGATGTAGCGGCGGTAGTATCCAGACAGCCCGAGGAATGACCTAACTTGCTTTTTACTAGTAGGCGGGGGAGTGTCTATGATGTTAATAGTCTTTTCAGCAGTAGGTTTTAACTGGCCTTCGCCCACAATATGTCCCAAATATTCCAAGGTTGTCTTACCTAGCTCGCACTTCGTTGGTCGCGCCGTTAAATTTGCGTTGCAGAGTTTAGTCAGCACTTGCTCTAGTAGAATGCAATGTTGATCCCACGTCGTCGCGTGTACCAGAATATCGTCAAGGAAGGTTTCCACTCCTTCCATGTTGCCAAATAAACTTCTCATGAGTCTGTTAAACGCTGCAGGGGCATTAACCAGGCCGAATGGCAAGACTGTAAATTGAAACAAACCTGCAGGAGTAGAAAAAGCGGTAAACTTCCGGAATCCTTTTCCAGAGGTATTTGCCAGTAACCTTTTGTCAGGTCGATCTTCGAAAAATATCTGCTGTGACTTAGCCTGCAAAATATGGATTCTGGATCACACATGGGTTCTGCATCAAATTTAACAATTTTGTTTAGTCTCCTGAAATCTAAACAAAGCCGATGTTTTCCATCCTTTTTAGGCACAACTAAAATAGGAGTCGAGAACGAGGAGTCCGATGCTTCAATAATGCCAAGTTGCATCATATGAGAGAGCTCTTCTCTCACCACATCCTCTAAGCTGTAAGGAATAGGGTAAGGTTTTACTCTAATAGTGTCGGGCACCGTCACCTCAATTCTGTATTCAGTCACATTAGTTTTACCTGGAACATCCGTTAATACAGTTTCATACTTGCGTAAAATTTCCTTTAGATCTTCTTGCTGATCGTCTGGTAAATGAATATTGCAATGTACGTCTTTCCACGTCTCCTGCTGGTGGTAACTGGGAATTGTAATTAATTTACCTTGCACAGCGTCGGACGCCACCACGGCGACGGCGGTTTTCTCCGTTTTCTTTTCGCCTTCGCGGTACACGTAACGCTTCAACATGTTAACGTGATATTTTCTCGGAGTCCCGTTTACATCCACCACCTTGTTCCATTTGCTAGGGCTGCCTAAGACTCTGAACGGTCCCTTCCACTGGAACAACAGCTTGTTGGTATTGGTAGGCAACAGTAGCAAGACGTCATCGCCAACCACAATATTTCGGTCTTTGGTTTTCTGGTCGTAGTAGTGCTGGGCTACCTCCTGCGCCTGTTTTAATTCTGTTAAAGCCATTTTACATGTATTTTCCAACCTTTCTCGTAGGTTAATTACATACTCATATGCAGACTTTACCTCATCATCAACCGGACTGCCGTCCCATAACTCACGCAGCAGTGTTAGCGGTCCTCTTACGGTGTGTCCGTAAATCAGCTCGAAGGGAGAGAATCCCGTGCTGGCCTGGGGTACTTGGCGGTAAGCAAATAGAAGGGGTGCCAAGTAGCGGTGCCATTCCTTGGGCTGCTCAACACACATCCTTTTAAGCATTTTCTTTAGTGTCCCGTTAAATTTTTCAACAAGACCATTGCACATAGCATGGTATGGTGTAGTGGTCAAAGACTGAATAGAAAGTAAGCGATATACTTCTTTCATTATGTCAGAGGTAAACTGTGTCCCCCTGTCAGATAAAATCTCTCTAGGCACACCTACCCTGCTGAAGATTGTAACCAAGGCCTCTGCTACTGTGGGTGTATCAATGCTTGGAAGAGCGACAGCCTCGGGGTACCGCGTAGCATAATCCACTGCCGTCAGGATGTACCGAGAGCCATTTGAAGATCGTGGCTCAAGCGGCCCCACCAGGTCTACGGCCATGCGAGAAAATGGTTCACCAATGAGCGGCATGTCACCCAGTCTGACCTTGCTCACCTTCCCCTTATCCACCGTCCGTTGACACACGTCGCATGATCTGCAGTAGCGAGTTACAGCGACAGTAACACCTGGCCAAAAGAAATGTGCAAGTATTCTATCTTTAGTTTTGCTTGTGCCTAAATGGCCTCCCATAATGCCTGAATGGGCCAGCTCCAGGATAGCTTGGCGACACGCTTGAGGAACAATGAGTTGATCCCGTTGTCGTTTTCCCGTCATCACATGCCTGTACAGCAGTCCTCTTTTCAAAACGAATTTAGATATTTCATTATTTTTCATCCTTTTAAAAACTTTACCTTTTTGTACGTATATCCGAATTCCATCCAAACTTTTATCCTCCTCTTGAGTTTTCTGTATATTCGTGTTCAACATTTTCGTAACCTCTGCTATCTTCAACACTGGTGTCTTCCTTTTACATTCACTCTCGAATCTGGTCTGCATTCTCGTCATCACTCCACACTTTTCCGTTCGTGCGTCGTCCTCACCTGTACTTGCTCCTGGTATTTCCCCAATTATCAAGTCATACAGGGGCTGTGGTAGACATACGGCATTCACCCTCCCAGTATAATAGGGGGTTTTGACATCAATTACTGCCTCAGGGTAATAATAAATTTTAGAATTTGCCATCATTATGCCCACTTCCTTACCAGTCAATTTAGACGACGGAACCAGACTTCTCCTTACCAACACTGTTGAACATCCTGTGTCCCTCAGTACTATGGCTTTTCTTCCTTCTACTTCTCCTCTAGCAGTCTTCAACTTCTCCTTACCTTTGGCTAGAGTTCCTCCACACAATTCCTCTCCATCTACAGCTTTCTTTTCACTCTCCTTTGCTTCTTCTCCTTGACTCCATTTCACACTAGTTTCTGGTGCAACTACAACACTGCTTACTGGGGCGGCTGCATCTTCCTTCCGCGGCTGTGGTCTGCTCGTTTTTCCTCGAACATTCGGTGGCCTGAAATAACATTCCCATGCCCTGTGTCCCCGTTTATTACATATGAAGCAAGTTACCTGACCCCGCACTGCGCCTTTTTCCGTTGCTGGGATGCTGGGCGTGGAGGGCTGAGGAGGGCGGAATACCTGCGACTGGTGTGTCATTGCTCGAGTCCCTTGGTTTCCGTGGGCCTCGAGGAAACGATCCGCATTCTCCTGTAGCTCTTGTAAAGTTCTTAGAGATCGCTCTTTTAGGAATAAACTCAGGTTACAGTCACATGAGGATAGAAATTGCTCTCTGATGATCAGTTCCTTTAAAACCTCGTACTCTTTTTCACATTCCGCCATCTCAGTCCATCTCTCAAACAGTTTTGTCATTCTTGCTATTAATTGTTTGGCAGTCTCTCCCGTAGAAAATTTACAGTTTCTAAATTTAGTTCTAAAACCCTCGGCTGTGCAATCAAATCCCTTTAATAGTGCTGATTTTACCAGCTCAAAATTATTTGCTTCTGAAGGGGTTAATTGGTGATATATGTCCAGGGCTTTACCTTGCAATAAGGAGGCTAAACTGATGGCCCACACTTCTTCGGACCAATCTGCGTTCCTAGCGAACCTTTCAAACCGCTGAAGGTATGCATCAATGTTATCGCATTTATCATTGAACACAGGTAATTTGGGGTACTTTACCTGTACTTTTGCAGTGTCGTGGTGTGCCACCTCATCTACCACAGGGAACTCTTTTTTTAACTCCAGTTGCCTTATCTTCAATTCTTCTTTCTTTAACTCTGCTTCCAT